TTGCAACAAAATCTAAATTTACTTTAAATTGCAGCCTAGGACCTTCATGAACTGGCCTCTGTCTACATTTCTCTTTATGATTTCACCCCTTGAGTGCATGTTCATATATGTATATGTACATATGTGTATAAACACACATATGCTATCATCAGGCAGTTAGAGGCAATCCCTCAATGGCCCATGCACTTCCATGATCTCACATGCTCTTAGTTTTGTCTTTTAAAAATACCCTCATGATTTGGTCAATTTAACTCAAGGAGAAAATAAAACTTAATATAAATTAGGAGGAGAATTTCTGTTCTCTTCCAATAGAATATAGTGCATTTCTCTACCTGTAGGTCTAAATTATAGTAATAATTTACCAACTGAACTTCTCTGTTTTTCCCCACTGAACTCTAAGTGCTTCAAAGCCACATATTATGCCCTAATCACTTTTGTGTCCTGAATAACTGTGACTAATTATGGAACATGGTAACTTATCAACAAATATTTGATGAGTGAATGAATGGAAGGATGGGTGCATGAATGAATGGGGTAGCACACAGAAGTAAATATGATCTAGGGGCAAACAGATCTGGGTTTAAGAACCAGCTGTACTTTGGGTAAGGTATTTACTTACTTGAATCTCAGCCCTCTAATCTGTAAAACTGGGAAAATAATTCCACCTAACTCATAGTAGGATAACAATTAAGTGAAATAATGCACATATCACAATTCCTGGCATGTACTATATTCAGTATGTATCATTATTATTTCTTTATTATTATAAATGAGAGTAACTTAGCTAAGTAAAAGTGCATTAAAGTTATGTATACTGGGAATGGAATGATAATAAATTATATTTCATGCTTTTATGTCAAAATGAATCTTATTGTCATATATAAATTTTAAAAGCCATTTAAAAAATTAAGTAAAAAAGATGATTATTTAACAAAAATTACTGAAGAGACCATGAGGGTTTATAGAAGTGGGATTTAAAACTTTGTTAGGTAAGGAAAAGGAAGATAATTTGGAGAACAAATGAAATCTGGAAAGGTCATCAGCATCTGTCCAGTTTAAGGATATTACCCAACATTACCAGTTGAAGGCATTTTGAAGCAGCCAATTGAAAATGAGATTGGGCTGGGGCACTATTTTTATTGTCCAAACAATCAAAGCTGTTTTTTGGCAACAAACTGAATCAAAGAACAGCTCTGAATTTTATAATAAATAATATTCTTCTCAAAACAGTTCTGATATTAGGCAGTTCAGAGAACGTGATTATTATAAGAACAAAGTAGGAATATTTTATTCCTGTATTTTCACAGTGGTACTTTTTTACATTCTTTGATTAAACCTTCCAGAACTATTGGGTCATGTTTTAATGGCTTAATTGCCAAAAGTGTTGCATGTCATTTTTACAGCCAATATCCTCAACCACTTTACAGATCCATGCTGCATTTATAAGGATATTTTATAACCATCCTCTATTCTAAATAGATTATAAATCTAAATCCACTAAGAATAAGCAGTAAAACTTGTTACTTTCTCATTTCTTTCTCCCAATCTATAAATCATCAACATGCGTTTTGTATTAAGTACACATTCTTTTTTTTTTTCTTCTATACATCCGTCTCCTTCTGACATTCATGCTCTTGAGAATTTTCACAGAGCAATTTCTATCTACCATTACATCCTGATGAGGGAGAGATGTCCCAGGCTTTGGAAATAGGTCATTGAGAGCTCATGAAAATAAAAACATGATAAATGCACACTATTATATTTTAGTACAATGTTTCTCATAACCACTTCAGGTAGTACTTTTTAAATGGTCTTTCCTTAAACTTTCTTTCCCTCACTGTCTGTCTGTCTCTCTCTCTCTCTCTCTCTCTCTCTCTCACACACACACACACACACACACACACACACACACACATTTCAGGAACTTCACTTTTGCTTTTCTTTAGCATTTTTCAACTAATAAAAGGTACACTTTTCAATATTTCATTATTTGTTATATTTCTCTTGATAACAAGATTCTAAAGATTATAGAGGTACTATGTTGACTACTTAGAAATCCTACCCCAAATCCAAATTACCACAGCCTACATTCACTAGTGAGCTGTGAGTCTATATTGAGGTTTTACCCTAAAAAATTAACTCTCTGACATTACATAGCTTGTGGCAAACAACTGCCTAAACTATATATTAGTTGATTCTATTCTTTATAATAGAATCTTTATCTAATGAATCAGTAAAACAACCAGAAAAGTGAGGGGGAAATCTCAATGTAAATAGGGATATTATGTCATGAATGAAAGAAACAAATTCTAATTGTCTGACTAAATTTTTTATTTTCCAGAAAGTTTTTGTCACATTTTAAAAATTCATTGACTTTCAGTTATCTGCAATAATGAAAAAAATCATAGTATATGTTAGAGAGAACATAATTGAAAAAATAAGAGCATTTAAACCCACAGATAATCACTAATCAGGTCTAGATATACACAAATCTCTGCCCATGCATTCTTATCCCTTTGGCCCTTACCACAACTCTCTCCTCTTTTACTCAACATCCCTTACATGCCTGGACTCTCTGCTCCCTCACTCTTCCCTGGACAATTCAATACACCCTTGCCAAAGCACAGAGAGACAGAATTCTAATATCTTTTGTCTTACTTATACCTCCTAAAATTCTACTGTCAAACTAGACACTGAGTGGAAAGATGAAAACACTTAATGTTCTATAATTTAAGTAAACTGTATTTAATCCAGAATCATTCATATAAATATCATGCAGATTCAGAAACTTTTAATTGACATGCTTTCAGAAAAAAATTAAGTTCATAAAAATGGTAAGTGGTTAGCAAAACAGTGCCTCATGTTAACCTCTAGGGATAATTTAAAAATATCCAATACTAGTTCCTCCCCACATATTAACCAGATAAGTCTGACAAAATTATCCTGAGATAGAACTTCCTTCAAATCAATGGATAACCTATTTTCCCAAGGTGTATAGAAACATGCAAATCTAGTTTATTCAATGTATAAAATTTTTAGTGAATAATAAATGGCACAAGCAACTAAAATGGAGAATTTGCTACATGCCAAGCTTGGTTCTAAGTATTTTATATATTTTCATGGATTCTTCATAACACCCCTGAGTGTTAGATATTTTCTTCAACACCGTTCCATATAGGTATAACTGAAACACAAAGGCAGTAGGTTGCCCTGGGACCAGCCAGATGCTACTGCAATCTATCACACAGTCTATACACTTCCTTGCCATGAGATAGTGTGTATGATATCAGTTGATGACTTTTGTTCTTTTAATTTACATGTGCCCAAACAAATATCTGTCCCCAAAAGATATGCACTGAAGAAGCATTGCTACACAGTATCTGATAATAATTAAAGCATAATTATTTGCTATGGACTGAAAATATGTGTCTCCTTAAAATTCATACTCTGAAGCCCTAATGTGATGGTATATGAAAATGAAACATTTGGAAGATAAATAGGACATTAGAATGGAATTAATGTGTAAGGATACCCTGAAGACAGCCATCTGCAAACCAAGAAGATCACCTCCTCTAGCCACCTGATTTGTCAACACTTTGAGCTTACACTTCTAGCCTCCAGAACTGTAAGAAATAAATTCCTGTTGTTTAAGATACTCAATCTATGGTGACTTGTTATAGAAGCCCACATGACTAAGACTTTATCCCCAAAGTAATCTAAGACAAGAAGGATACATGCAGGGCAGTACAGTTAAGGAAATGAAGACAAACAGCACCAAATAGATTATCATCAGAGAAACCATTGTGACTTCCTCTTCAAGCAAAGATGACAGGCAGTGAGCCTAGGAGGGAGAAGAATAGGCATTACCACATCATCAGCTTCTGCAAACAGGAGCTATGTGTAAAAATACTGATAGTCACACATGATCACTTCAGGCACATTCATGCTTCCATCAACCTATACCTGAAGAACAATATATGCAAGGATATTCATGCATGTGCACGTCCCTGTGTACTATAGGGGGATTTGAGGTTTGCAGCCAAAGATTAAGCTTGGATTAGTGTTTGAAAAGATGCATAAGCAAGACAATTAAGATCCTATATTTATTTTTGTTACTAGAATTGTGTTATCAAAGCTAAATATTTGAGGAAAATTTCCCTCAGAAAATAAAGTTGAGTCAAGGAATGAATCATGCACTATAGTGATGAGTTTGAGAGTGAATTTATATCACAAACTGATTCTTTAACTTGGTGCCCTCCTTTAATATTTCATGTATAAGTGTCATCATTCTTTAGTTTGTTTCTTACTAGCTAGTAAAGAGAAGCAGAAACTCACAGAAGGTGTTCCAAGATTCCACAGGAAGGATCAAGATTCCAGCATCCATCAGCCTCTAGGAAAGAGGATGTGTAATAAAAGGCCTGGCACTTCCTTATCTTTCAGGAGGATGAAGTCATATTCCTTCAACCAATAAGTACACTTGTAGCATATGAGAGAAGAAAAGATCTGTCCCAGATAAGAAGGGTCAGAAGATTTCATTTGCCCCAGTAATAAAGATGGTCAAGAGAAATATGTAGAAATCATTAAAATCACATCTAATGTAATTATTTTGAAAAACAATTGTTACAATATGAATGAATTCTCACATTTAAAGGACAGAAAATAGGAAAACAGATGTGGGATCACCCCCCAAATGTCTGTCCCATTGACACAGTAACAAGCAAAAAAGAAGCAAGACCAGATACTAATGCAGAGAGCTTAATGCCTACACTTGGCAGAAATTTCCCTGTCACAGCTGGGCTGCCCTTGGAAGCAGCTGTTTCTTCTCTAAACCATCTATGAGGGTCTCAAGACACTGTAGTACAGAAGATGCCCTTGTATGTTAAGTGAGATTACCCAGGATTTTTCAAAATACTGAAAAAATTTACATTTTATCTTTGCCTGCCCAAATGTCTCCCAGTGGCCCTTCCCTTCTCCATACCCAGCAAATTTCTGGTTCTTACTTGGGATAATTTCTAGACTGAATGAAGGGCACAATCTCAGAGTCTTGACTTGATGGAGGCAGTAGTAAATCTCGAAATCTTTCTGTCAAAAGAAAAATAAATATCAAGCTATGAAGAAATAAAAGTATCAAAAATAATTTCAAAATAAGATTACTTTCTATTGTTTTATTAAGATATTTTGATTGCATGTATTTTATTTGAATTTTACCCATCATTTTATATACTAAATGGTATGTTAATTTCTCTTCAATAACTATATATACATAGTGATTAGATTAGTGCAGTCTATAGTGCACTATATATGTATATACACATACAGTGATTAGAATAATGCAGTCCCTGCAAATACAAAAATAGAAAGTATTCATTATTATAGACTAATAAAGGCTTATAATTGAAAGGTTAGAGAAAACACATATAGTCAATAAACACACCAAGAGATGCACAATCTCATTACTAACCTTGGCAATGTGAATTAAAATCACACACCATTAGGTAGCTTTCACATTACATGGCATTCCATTGTCAGAAATTAGTCTCATAAGACCAAGGGTTAGAATGGGGATTAAATAAGTTTTCAAACATTAATAGTAGGAGTGCAAATTGTAAATGTTTGCAAAACAATTCAGCATTATCTTTTAAGTTTAACTTTTCCATACATTATGGCCCAATAGTTACATTCCAAGGTATATATACTGTACAAACTTTCACATGTGTCTTTGGCAACAAGTAAGAAGACATTTATAACAGTACTATTCAAGACAACAAAAATGGAAATGACTCAACTGCCCATTGAAACAGGAATGGACAATTTGTGCTGTACTCATACAAATGAATACAACTTGAAGTGAAACTGAATATTTACAAATAAAAACATAGTGAATCATACTAATATAATAGCAAGTGCGAAAAATATCAAATATCATTTTTAGTTTTTTTTTTTTCTTTTGCTTAAAACCTCATTATTGGATTGACATTGGGGACAAGGACTGAGCTTTCAGTAACAAATTGGCAACCCAGAGGACACAGGAGCAGTTATACTCTAGTTCTTTTGGACACTAGTGATTCTCCAAGGAACCCCATTTCCATGCTGAGAATGCAAGGTGGCTGGAGAACTTGTTGAGAGCCAACTGCTAGAGATTTAGGTGGATAAGTTTCTTTGGAGCAAATGGGGGCGGGGGAGCCCCAAGGCTCCTGTGAGTAAACAAATGGATTGAGGAATGTCCCAGCAACTGCCAAAGCTCCTTTTGCATCAAGGAACTCCCCTCTTCTCTTCCTGAATGATTCAGGCTGATGCATTGAGGTCCACTTTGAGAAAAAGGAAACAAAACAGTAAAGTCATGACCCCCTTGGCCACTTGATAATTCCCTTGGTATGTATGCTGAGACTCTTAATTCCATACACTGGTGCCTCTTCATGGGAACATTGGATCCCTCTTTGTGGAGACACCTGTGATGTGCCAGTGTAGGAATCATGGTTAAGAGGGAATCAAGAACCTAGGAATTTTTATTCCCTTCTGCTATGTTTTTGGTTGTTATCTGTTTGTTGGCCTTAGGTTTAGTAACTACTCTCATTGTTTATTTATTTATTTCTTCATTCATATATATGTATATATATATATATATATATATATATATATATATATATATATATATATATCTGTTACTAGTACTTTAAGATATAGGCAATGCTGTGTTTGATCCTATAGGTGGTCTCTTGGGAAAATAATCTTGATTGGCCAAGATTTATAGGCCACTTATAGATGTAAGCCTATCTAAAAAACAAACAAAGATGTTTTACTGTAAGGATCTGGTCTTTGAATGGTTTTCTGGATTATTATAAAATCTCATATTTGGAGTTGGTGTGTCAGAAGTTAAGTAAATGGAAGAGATTCTGTCTGTATAGGTGTCTATGCAATTGCACAATAAGGAGTCTGAATGGTCAGAAACTAAGTTGAGGGTGCAAAAGGCACTGCCTCTGGTATGCAAAGATAGTAGTATACTAGAAGAAAGGGTTAAGAAAAAATTTAAATCCTTTCAACCCTGTACAGGCACTCCCAGCACTGTTTCTCAGACTGGCCCCAGGAAACTATAAATCATCTCTCTGTGGCTAAGGGACACCTACCCTGGGCTGCAAAAAAAAAAAAAAAAGCTTCCTAGGTATAGAAAAATGGGCAAGGAGGAGCTGGCCACTGTCCTGCCTTATAGCCCCTTTTGCCCATGGGGTGGGGTGGAGTTGTGGAGGCTGCTGGCCACAAAGAATGTTGCAGTAGGCTTCAGCTCTATTAGTTTACAACCTGGGGATAAGAATGGTTACCTCTTTTAAGATCTGACAGGACACCCCATTTGGACAGAATATGTTCAACACCGTAACACAGAGCAATTCCTGCTGTGACAGTATCCCATAAAACTAAACACATGAGGAGAATGGCAGGATAAGCAACTGTACCCAGAAGAGAAAAATTAAAAAAATAAAAATACTCCAAGCAGAAACTAAAACCAACCCATATTTTACAGGCAGCCTCTGCAAAGGGATCTTCAAGGAAGCCTTAAAAAAAAAAAAAAAAAAAAAAAGGATGGAAAGGGCCTCCTCCATTGACGATCAATATGCCTACTGTAAGAAAAAGATCTGAAAGGAGCCTCTAGGTATAATTGACAGTGGGGATCTCACTGAAACTTGATAGCATTGTGATAATAATAAGAAAGACAGACGATGCTCAAAAATATCCAACCTTTTGAATGCAAACCTGGAGAAAAAGGATTATTCAATCTCTCCTGTGATGAAATTTGTTGTGTGAATTAAATGCACAGATAACTTTCATATGGATTGTTTCAGAATATGAATTTAAGAAATGGTCTGAAACTACAAAAGAGATAGAAGAAAGTTTTATGTATGATAATATATTTTAGTGTAGAAAATTAGAAGATTAAAGAATCATGGTAAAGTTTTAAGTCCAAGATTAAAAAAAGGACAAAACTAAGGATGGAAAAAGTTTTAGAATGTCAAAGTAAGTTGTAGAAGGTTTGTGGAAGGTAAATCTCAAAAAGTTTGTGTATGTGATTAAATTGGGTATAATTAGCACAGTCAGTTATTTGAGTTTTAATTTACTGATATGAAGCTAAGTCTGAAACACTGATTTGTTCTTATCAAGACAATTTTCTTTCATCAGGTTTTATTACTTAGGAAAAGCAAATCTTAAAGGAATTATGGTTTGTATTTGTTCTAAAGCCTTCTTAAAAATATTTTTAGATGTAGATGAACACAATAACTTTATTTATTTTTTTATGTGGTGCCAGGGATTGAACCCAGTGCCTCATGCATACTAGGCAAGCACTCTATCACTGAGCCACAACCCCGGCTGCTGTTTTAAAATCTTTTAAATTATTACTTTGTAAGTGGTTAAATAAACAGCTGTTATTTTAGGTTATTACAATATAGTTTACACCCTAAATATATGTGGCTAGAGATATGTATATATTTGAGAACACTTGTCTAAGTGTTATGTAAAAGTTTATAAATGAAAGTTAATGTAGGTTTATCAGCAAGGTAATCAATAAGTGTTCACTTTTATCTGACATACAAGGGCCACACTGCCATTTGAAGATCTGTCTTATATTTGCTTGCTTTGACTAAGTCTATTTCTGACCATTAACACTGTTTCCTAAATGTATAAGAGATATAAGTAGATTCTTTTGATTTTTGCTAGTATTGCTAACCCATGCAGACTTGTGATTATTGTTACTATACACTATGAATTCTAAATATTACTTTAAAAGTTAAACTTAGTTAATATAAGGACAACTGTATAATAGTGCTTCTAACTGTTACTGGCTTCTTTATATATTAGATATATTCATGTTCTTCAAGTAAACAAGCCTTTTAAAATGTAAAGCTTAGGAGAGTGCATTGCCAAGTTGGTGTCCTCCAAATTAAACTGTCTGTAGCAATAGTGTCCTTCAGATTTATACAGAAATAACAGGTTTGGTTGGTATTTATGTCTCTTAATGTTTTGTAACTAGATAAATGTAACCTGTTGTCAAGAAGTTATATATAAATTTTTTTTGTGCTACTCTTTACACTGAGATGGGAATTTAAATGTTTGGGGGAAGGAATTAAGGAGAGACTGATTTGTAAATGTTGACAATGTAGAACATGCAAACGGTTTGCCACCTTTTTCCACCAAAAGGAAAAACTCAACCTTTGATTCATGTTTCACATATAATGTATTAAGTTAATTGATATTCAGATATACTCAGGAAAATACAACAGAATGTTGTAGAATGATATTTTTTTTAAAAAAATGGGCAAAGGTCAGCTTTAGAAATAAAACACTTTAAGCTTTGTCAAGAGGCCAGCCTCACTTGATCTAAGGCTCTGCCTCTCACCCTTCTCCATGTTAGAATGACTCCGAAGCATCAAGCTTATTTAAAGTTGTTATATTTTGTTGTTTTAAAGATCACTATGATCTCAAAATAATCAGGGGATATAACTCAAAACATAAGTAAGGATTTGGGCAAATTGTAAAAATTTTTAATAATTTAAACCTTAATTTATTTATTTGTTTTTATTTGATGCTAAAGACAGAACCCAGTGTCTCACCTGTAGCAAGCAAGTCCTCTACCACTGAGCTACAACCCCAACCCTGCAAAAGAGTTTTATAAGAAAGTAAAATGTATGTACTGATCCCCCGAAAAAATGGAAGGAGTAACTCTAAAATTATAGATATTGAAGGTATAACCTATTACTCCACTTTATGACTGGGGAAACTGGTCTGCTGGATGTTTAAAACCAAAAACTTTGGAGACCAAAGTTAGGGAAGTAAAAGGGCCAAGAAAAACATAGCCAATATTTTGGCCCTTGCCCTTCAAGGTCAGCCAGCACCTAGAGGATGACAGAACCCCTCTAAGGGCCTTGCAACTCTGGTACAGATCAGGGGAATGGAGAGGAAGAGAGAACAGGAAGCCAAAAAGTACACATTCTGCAAAGAGGAGGGTCTCTGGAAAGAGTATCATCCTGATGCTTCAAAAGGAGACCACATCTAATGAGCAAAATCCTGACCCATCCTGGCAGATGGCAGGCTAA